ATTCGACGGAAATTCACACAGACGCAGAGAAGGATGGCTCTAAGGATAATCTCAGGATATCGCACGGTATCCGATAGTGCAGCCTTAGTACTGGCCAGTGTCCCGCCAGTGACCTTTTAGCCTAGGAAAGGAGGACAATGTACCTGAGGACGACAGCAGACAAACAACAAACCCTGTCAAAAAGACAATTAGACAATATCAAAGCAGAATTGAGAAAACCATCTTCCTGCACCAGTTGTATACGTAAGCTTCCGCGGCTCGAATCCATGAATTCTCGGCTATCCGGGAGACGCCGCGTCGTTGGCTGGGGTGCCGACGACGCGGCGTCCCCGGATGAGCCGAGAATTCCTGCACCAGTGGCAAAAACAATGGGACCTGGAGTACAAAGGTAGATGGACACACAGCCTCGTCCCTAACATCAAGGATTGACCAGCAGGCACCCATGGCACAATGGACTTCTACTTGACCCAAACCTTCTCAGGGCATGGGAACTTTCAAGCATATCTATACGCGATTTAAAATCGCTGAAAACCCGATATGCCGCACTATGTCATGAAGAAGACAACGCTATGCACACCATATATAGTTGCAAAGCTGGGAGGAGAAAGAAGAAACTGCTACAGCAAATTGCGACGGCAATTCACGCCTGCATACACATCCCAGACTATGCTGGCAATCCAGAGACAACTGGAAAACAGTGCGAGACTTCGTGCTCCACTGTACAAACAGAAAGCCACTACTAACAGCAGAGAGAGCTAAAATACCATAGCGACCATCTGAAGAGGAAAGCTCATGCTCTCAGCCAATCATCTGCGTGAAGTAATGTCTCAATGACGGTCCAGAAGCACGCAGAAGATACCATGGCCCATGTGAATCGAGGAGGCTAGGTTTTAGTCGGTATGCCAACCTGGAGAGTTCGACATAACTGGACCTACGGGTATGCGTAACGCATTTCCCCCTCCTCGGCAATAATAATAATAATAATAATAATAATAATAATAATAACAATAATAATAACAATAATAATAATAACAATAATAATAATAATAACAATAATAATAACAATAATAATAATAATATAACCAGCAAATAGTTTTTATGAATTATACAATCGCACCGCTGTATAATAATACGCCGCACCATAATATGGCTCAGTTGTAAAATTTATATAAAGTATATACATTTATATTAAATTTATAGCTGTTAAATTTTAATCAAAACTATTAAAATATTAAAAATAGATCATGCGGTTTAATTAACTAAGCAAAAAATAAAATAGGGGAATAACAAAAAAAAACAAAAAATATATATTGTGATGAGAAGGATAATAAAGAGCAGTAGGAGTCAATGATTACGATTTCTGTCAAGTTAAATATAAAGCTTTACACAATGTTGGAGAGAACCAAACTGTTGATCTTGTTAAGCAATCAAATAATCTAAGGTTTGTCCTACAATTGGCTCAGGTAAGTCAAGAAATAAAAATTAGAGAGAAATAAACATTGAAAAAATATTTGACAACTTTTTATTACTTCACTGTTCTCGTAATATTGGGGGAATTATTTCGTTTTCTTCAAATTCCGCTTTGGAAATAAACCTTCCGCCAATTCGCTCCGATTGTCATTTACCGCGCGTCGACCAGGCAACGAACAGTATTCAAAGTAATTCAAAACAACGAAATTGAAGCATGAGCCCTGAGCAGTCATGCCAATCTCAAGAACAATACGGCATTGACCAATTTACTAAAGACCTTTCGCTTCATTCAAACATGGAAATGTTTGCCATTATTAGCGAGCACTATACAAAAATATATAGATATGTGTCTATAATGTTACTTTTTATGATTTTGCTCGTACTTATTGCGTAATAGTGTTTTTTTTTTGTTCAATCTTATGGTTCAATTGTTCATTCCGTGGCCACGCGTTCTGATGGTACTAGTTAAGAAACTAGTCAACAGTAGCTCTCTAAGTGGTATAAAAATATTTTTAATTTTCATCTATGAACCAAAATTAATTTGAATAATTTAATAAAATTCAGCATAAAAGTCTAGTAGGTCTCACAATACCCATTTATCTCGCAAATTAATATTTTTGAACGTAATGTGGACTCACTATCTACTAGGGAATATCACGCTCAAACCAACTTCGAGGGCGCTATTCTATCAGACATATACCTGCTACATAGATGTTAATCTATAGTAGTAGTATCACAGTTAAGAACTTTGAACACAAAATGGTTGATGGAGGTAGACGCATGGGATATTTCATTTCAGATATCGTTAGGAAATTCAATATTCCGAGATTCACAGCGTCATGAGTGTGCCGAGAATACCTAATTTCAGGCATACCATCTCACCAAGGACAACGTAGCGTCCGATGACTGAGAGCAGCGTCATTGGCGTAGAGTTTGTCTGTGCTAACACACAAGCAACACTGCGCGAAATAACCACAGAAATCAATGTGGGACGTCCGATGAAAGTTTCCGTGTGGACAGTGTATCGAAATTTGGCGTTAATGGGCTATAGCAGCAGAAGACCGACTCGAGTGTTCTTGCTAACAGCACATCGCCTGCAGTGCCTCTCCTGGATTTGAGGCCATATAGGCCAGTCGAATTAAACCAAAAAAAAAAAACATTGCTATCATTGCTGAAGGAAGAAAATCACGGAGATTTGAAACTTGCCATGATTGTTTGTTGGTACCCACTGGTATGCTCAAAATCCTGCGCGTCCGGCGCGTTAGCTGCTGCGCGGAGCCATGAAAACGAATTGTTCGTCTCGGAGGGGACCTAGACGCCGTATTTCCTGCTGCAAGCGCACCAGTGTGAGGCGTTCTAGAGTCTTTCCTAGGAGCGAAAGTAGACTATTGGGTCTCGGCAGGAAGAGGCTCTTACCGCACTTGGGTATTAAGCAGATGCTCGGGGTTTTCCACGGACGCGGGATATATCCTTGTGCTAGGCAGGCATTGAAGAGTGCCAGCAGAAATTCCACCCCTTTGTCGCCAACGTCTCTCAAGTGGGAGACGGTGATGGCGCCAGGGCTACAAGAATTGTTTTGGGTTGAGGCGGCGGAGCAGTCCGCGGAGCTCTCCGTCCGTTACGCGACAAGTTGATGTGTTCGGTGTGACTGCCATGAGGCACCGTAGGTGCTCCGCAGTCAAGTGGGCATCGCTGGCTCTGGCGTCATTGGGTCGGAACTGCCGCTCGAGCAAGTCAGCAAAGACTTCACTTTTAGCAGCGTCATCTCACACATACACCGGTGTGGATGACCAGGGAGCCTTGGGATGTCCGCGTTGGTTTGAATGGGGTGGTTTACTCCTGGTTGCCGCCTCAACGCTTTGGATGAGCTCCGTAGGCGTTTATCGTGGGTATTGCACTCTTTTATTGTAGTTTTCCACCGAGCGTTTCTCTCAGAGAACGGAATTCTACGACGGTCGTGAATTCTTCGTTTCAAGTCCTAACGGGATGGTCGAGGTAGCAATATCGATGAGTATGGGCCCAGCTCTTCGGAGGGAAAGTTGGCTGGTTCGAGTTGCCAGTGAATTTTCTTCGGAAAGTCTTATATCCGGGCTCTGGGAACGAAAGAGAGGATAAATTCTGTTGTTAAATTGGGGGGGGGGGAGATTAACACGTGGTGTAGCTAGAATCCATGTTGTGTTGGTTCTTGATACCGAAACATTGATTGACTGCATAATGTCTGTTTGTTCATAATGGCCCAATCCATTCCGCTGATTTTCTTGAAAATTGGTGTACCCAGATTGATCTAAACGGACTGGGGGTTTTGAGAGTTTCTAACAGATATGTTGATTGTTTAAGTTTTTTTAAATGAATCAGGCATTTATCTTTTTATATTTGTCAGGGTTCAACCCATGCGGCAAAATTTAAAAATGCCTCTTCCAAGCATGTATAAGTTATTGATGTATTTGAATTCAGTAAATTTAGTCAATAAAGTTAAACACTAAAGTTTTAAACAAATATGTTCAAGTAATTGTTCATAGTTGAAAATATATCTAGACGAAATTGTTAAAAACTGCAAAATTTTACTAATAAAAACAATGTATATTTCCTGTGGTTATTAAATTGATTATTGATAATTTTGAGTTAATTCTCAATTTTAATATTGCTCTACAGCTTTTGTGAATAAATCACAGAAATCTGTATATCATATCAAAAAACAAAGAAAGGTCAAGTATATGAAATACTAATTCCAAAGCACACACAGCATGCTAAGCAAGCCCACCATATTCCATTCTTCAACTATTCTCATTGCCTTGTGTTGATAGTTATATATTTTCTAATATAAAATTGCTAGATAGGTAGTAGATCTGTTGAATTCACAGTTCAATGCTGTGAATTTCACAGCTCACATGAGCTTAAATATGAATAACATGAATTCTCATGCTATGTGACATCATCAGGCTCTCTGACAGAAGTGTAACGTAATGAGTGTGGGCCTGCCACAAATCATTTATCTGCACCCCTTTTATATAAAATTGTAAAACACAAGTAGTGTTACCACCTTAAATAATAAAAATGTGCCCTAAAAACAGGCCCTTTCATCTGGGCCCGCCCGCATTGCAGGCCCCAACGTTATACCACTGTTTTCATTCAAAACCAGTAATTCCATACCAGACCCCAGATAACTGTAGATGTAGGTGCACATGTTCAGAAAAATCAAAACCAATCTCCACAATTATTATGCACATTACCATCCATTTGAATCTGTGAATTGAACAAAAATATGATGTTTTGAAATAAAATAATTGTTATATTTATTAAAGAGAATTGCTAATGTGCTGCAGCACTTACTGACCAGCCTCCATTTGTGTATGTTATTTATTGAGCACACTAGTTAAGTAGTCCTGACATTGTTATTAAATGTAGGCAAGTCAAGCTGCTCAATGAATCACAGTATTTTTACAATACAGTTATACACATAAAATTGTAACCAGGATGCCGGATGAGGAAAAAAGCAGGAAATAAACAGTATAATCAAAACACAATGCATATACCATAAATAATGTATCTAATTTACTTTAGCAAATCAACTATGTACCAATACTTTACAGGGCAGTCAACTTGAAAGCTTTGTTACACATGTAGACAAAAAATCTACAATAGATATAACAGAAGTATATTAACAATATCTTTAAAAATGCATAAAGAGTATGTACATATCATACAACTGAAGACAATTTCGTGCAGTCTTCTATGGAAAACAGAAGTTAATTATTGTCATATCCACCACTGCCACCACTAAGAACAAAAATGTGATTCAATACACATTTCGTTTCTCAACAATGGCCAAATATCCCACTGGGCATTTGGCTCAGTTAGTATCCCCCATGAAAAGACCTATATACATGGGAAAAAGCCACTCCGCAACCACATACATTTTTCTTGTTTCGAAGAGCAAATAAACAAATGCCACTTCTACTTTAACAGGATTGTATGTAGATTGGCATTTTTATAAGCTCTTCCCTCAACACAAATTTCTAAAATAGTAAAGAGATATTTTATATATCAGTTTAATATTTGTTAACATGTCATCTATAAATATACTTTGCTTGTAAGGAAATAAGCAGAGCTCATATACAAAAATAGCCAAAAATCAGACAAAGATTATGCCAGAAAAATAACATTTTCACAACAATATAAATTACTTTTCAGAATCTATAAGAGTTTAATTTTTGATATAGATGACAATTTTTGGACTTTTCATAACTAATTTCAGCCACATTACCCCCACTTAGTTTTCGTGTCCCCCTATAAGAATTAGTTGCACTATTCTCAGGTACATGTGTGTATTATTTTTTCAATTTCCTCAACAAAGAACGCAAGTTAAACCAAATTATGAAACATACTCGTACTGGCAAGTGGATAATCTACATATACTTTTACCTATTTGTACACATTTAATAGAGCATAAGGTGAAGTGTTCTCATGTTCATACTACTCCAAACTCCAGAGAATAGAACAACTACCTCAACAAAAGCATCTGACTGTATTTAACTACCATAGTGGTTCTACAGCGGTTCTCATGATTTTGTGTACTTAAGCATTGGTTCAACAACACACATCTCATATCAACTGCGAGTACATTGGAAACATCTGATAATTAACATCGCATAAACAAGCGCTCTCTGATTTAGTTTTTTATACATTTAATATATATTAACATATTGAGCAACATGGGGCTTTTCTTGGTAAGACCCAACTTCGAGTAGAGTAAATAGATATTTATATACTCAAATAAAAATGTTGAACTTAAATTACACATACAGATACTAAAATATAAACATTTGGCAGATGATCCATCACAATCATAATTAAAATACAGAATCATATTTATTGCAAACAACAATCAGATCTATGTTAGAGAATTCCATTCCAGAAGCTATGGCGAGCCTCAAATTCTGAGAGTAGATTCAAAAAGAAACAAGATTACAACAGTAAAGATTCAATTATGAGTTCCTGCAAGAAACTTTTCTTCCATACACAATTTCACATTACAAAAATAAAAATATGGCAAACGCATGGCATTTATAAAAGTTCTGAGAATTAAAACACTTTGTAACTTTTAAATCTTTTTCAAAGATTTATTACAAATTATCTGATACATGTAGTCTATATAAAAGAGGACCTAATGGAAAATGAAAAATTCATTGATTTTGATTATGGTCATTTTTCCAAATGTACACAGTTGTAATCTTATTTGCTTTTTTTTATTTTTAATCTCATTCTCTTAGTAATAAAAGTGGACGGCCATCTCATCTACATGATAAAATGATCTTAAACATTTTAGTACAGATTAAAAAAAATTTCTTAAAAATCTTGCAAAACTGTATGCAGCAATGGCAAATGAGCTGTCAATCTATCAAGATTATAGAAATGCAAATTGCTATATTTTTCACAATTTTTAAAGAAAATCAGGTGTGAAACAAATTATTAATAATTACCTTTTAAATCCAACAGCAAAAGATACCAAATTGATGGCCAAAAACAGAAAGGTACAAATCAAATTGAAAATTAATGAAAAATATGAAGTGACGTTCAAAAATATTTATGTGATATGCCACATTATTTTTCACAACTTAACTATGCGAACCAATTTCAGTATTTAGGGCAAATTATCACAAATTTATAAAACCTTTCCTCTGCCACCAAGTATTTCTTTATTAGATTAACATTATCATTTGTGACTTGAATAAAATATATAGGCAATTCAGAAAACCAACAGCAACTTCTTGCTGCATACATGTTTCTGACAAGCTACGAACACCAAAACAAGGCCAAATGCCTTCAGAAAACACCCAAAGCTTTACAAGCTCAACTAACAGCACTTTCACTTTCGGTGGGCTCCATTCTCAGTTAAACCATCATTCATAACGGATGTCCTCATTTGCACATTAATATTCTTTCAAAAGTAGCTAAAAGCACTTTCCTTACATACATAATGAACAAAATAAAAAATACAGTACCCTTTACAGTACCGTTCATGGCACAACATTATCACTTCCAAACAAGTTCATACTTCTACACCAAGCACTCTATCAACAACGTAATGGAACCTCTGGGACTCGCTGTTTTCTTCTGTACACTCCCTGCCCTCAACTTCCCTACTATCAGCAGCGTTTTTATTGTCTGTAGGACACTCGTCAACACTAGTTTCATCTCCATCTGTTTCCTGGTCCCTTAAACTTTCACCTCTCTTCAAAGTACTGCATTCTGAACTAAGTCCATCATCTGATGGAAGCACAGGCAAAGGCACATTAACTCGGGTGAAGAAAGCCATTTTCTCCCTGTAAAAGATCAAAAAATTAGGGATGTCCATGTCATACACACATTGCACACAGCATGTACTACATATATACTTACTTAAAAGAAATAATATCAGGCTTTCCTTTTCCTGCTTTGCTCTTCCGAAGTTTATAAATTTCTTTCGAGGTCTTCTTGAGCATTTTTTCAACTTTTCTTTCATCTGCACTCTTTGAATTTTTTGAAGATTCAACCTAATAGAAGAGAAAAAGGCACAATTAATATAACACTAAAGAATGATCCTCACAGAAGAAGAGACAGAACTCTCAATTCATCCACAGCACATTCATCCACCTGATGAGAAACTGTTGCAAGTGATCTTCTTAAAACTGTTCATAATTTTTTAAATTAATTTTGTATTTGATTGTTTATGACCTATAATGGTTGATTAAATCTGTTTATAAATATCTCCCTATTTTATTCGAAGACCATTAACACCTGATTGGATGCCAAGCTTTATGGAATGATACACTACACATTTGACAAATGATTTCCAATTATTTTCATTGTAGTTGAAGTATGAATACATAATTTTGAACTTTCACCAACTTCATAAAAACACAACCTTGCATAAATTCATCCAAAACAGTTTCAGACAATATTTTTTTATATTTATGGCACACGTAAAAGGCATAGACAAGTGGGTGTTCTTGACTAATTAGTAGTTAGGATTCTAAGCCAAGAGACAATTGGAGTAAAAATTTCATAGGCTTTGCTTTCAAAGAGGAAATTACAGTATTTGGTGACAGATTTAAAAGAAAAACATCACAGTAGCAACAATCACCTGAGCAACGAGGTGCTGAAAGTGTTCATCCTCAAGGACCCACGCCGCAACCTCTGTGTCTCCTTGTGCCCGAGCTGTCTCCAAGCGAGCCTTCAGTTGCCGCAGTTGCTGCAGCTCCTCCTGTAGAGTCTGCAAGCGTGTGTGTTGCGCCCTGAGGTCCAGCTCCAAGTCGAGTGAAGTTCGTGCTGAGTGATGACTACAATAAAATAAGAATTCATTATTAAAAACTATTGTTAACACTCTTCTATATGCAAAAGCTACACAATAAAAGAGATGTATCTGTATAATTTTCTTTGAACATTATTGTTTTGCAAGGTACACAGAGATTTTCGGTTCATTATTTAAATGAAAAAATTTAAATACTAGCTCTCAAATCATATTGCAAGTTGTACAGGTTATGGTTTCCACTATTAGTAATAGACAATCGATTATTGTTATGTAACTTTAAACAATCAAACACCAGCAAAATTGCAAGAAATGTAAAGAAGTTTCTAACCTCAAGCCTGTACCACAAGATCCACTGCTTGCACTACGGTGATGCTTTGCAACAACAACTGTTCCAGGTGGTCGCCTCCAACGAAGAGATCGCCTCTCAATTGAGTTTCGTTGGAATGGACCCCCTCGTCGATACAATGGCATGGAACTGTCACTGTCACTTCGATTCAGCTGTAAATAAAGAAAATAATAATTATAATTATGATTGTGTATATCAAGGACATGTCCCGTTAATAAATAAATAAATAAGGAAGAAATATTAAGGTACATCTCATGTGCTTTGGGCTTTGAAAGGAAGTGAATGCAACTCACCCTGCAAATGTACTGGTTCCTGCTTACTGCTGCACTAGGACTGAAGGTTTGAGACCGCTTGATCACAATGGCACGAGCAGGTTCATCAGGCCTCTTACGGATGCCTTTCTCTGGGATGAACACGCATTCAGTATTGGTTTCCTTGTCAAGAGTATCAACACTGAAATCTGCAGCATCAGCACCATCAGGGCCATCAGGAACAGCTGTATCTTCCTGCAAAACAATTAAAAGTTCAAAACTGCCCATTTTCCACAAATCTCAAGTTTTCACACAAAGAAGTAGCAACAACAACAACAACAACAACAACAACAACAACAATAACATAACCACAAAAAACTCACAGCATGTTCCAAAGCATCCTCCATAATGTCTTCTTGACAAAATTCCACTATTATCCCCTCCTCATCATCATCATCTTCATCTTCATCGTCGTCATCATCATCTTCCTCCTCCTCCTCCTCCTCCTCTTCTTCTTCTTCTTCTTGACTATCTACTTCTTCGAGCCTTGAACTAACAGTTGATGGTAAACCTACAAAAAATACAATTATGCATTTCACTTGCATTTTGGAGAATAAAAGTGTTGACAATAGAGTTAGAAACAAAATCTGTAGAGACATACCTTGGTTACGAGTTAATGTTGATGTCTGGGAAGAAATAATTGTGGATTCATCAGAGCTTTCTTCTTTCAGAGCAGCAACATGTTTATTGTAAACGGATACTTCACTTTCTTGCTTATCGTGTGTCTTGGAGCTGCTGCCACCATCTTCAGAGGATACACCACCAGTGGGTGTACTGCGAGGTACAGCTGAACCATGGGCACTTGTTGTAGCAAGAGCAGAAGCTGACCATGAAGAAGGAGATTGCATGAACCTGAAGCTCAGGATGTTGTACCACTTTACAGATACACTTTCAGGACTGAAGTCTGCCAAACTCACTTGAGCACAACCCTAGAAGATATTAAGAAATTACTGTATAGTACACCATACAAAATTTATTTCCATAATTGGTTAACAAGAAAAATGAAAACTTGCTTACCAGGCACTCTTCTTGTTCTGACGAATCAATACTCCACACATTGACCTGGAGCGTTTTATTATGTAATTTGTTTAGAGGTACTGCTAAGGGAAAGTTCTCTCCAAAATTTGGTTTGCTGAGGTCTTCAATGGGTTTTGTACAGCACATGTGAGTTTCAGGTGGAGGATTTGGCAACAGTGCTGCCTTAATGTACCTGCAATGAAATGGAATTCAGAATTAATTGTTTTATTCAACACTTTAATTTTGATAGTCACATGAAGAACTATGTTAGATATACTGCACATAAGTGCAGATACTTACACTTTACAATGTTCAGGTATAAAAAGCGCTGCTAGATTTCTAGCTTTTTCAATACCAACATGAAGCAAACTGTCGCATAAAGCATACCTATGAAGATAAAGATAAGATTAAATTTTCTAACACACTAAAATAATACATTAATCATTATCCTTAGTCTTAATGCATACCTGAGCTTGATTTGCACCTGAGCTGTTTCAAGGTTCATGTCCTCGAAAGTAGGATTTGCATTGCCAAGACATGACCTCTTCTTGTTTGAAGCTTCAAAGACACCAGAGTCACCTGCGACAGATTCATCACTAACAGCTGCAGAAACTGATCTTGTGTTAGTTCCTGATGAAGATGGAGTAGATAATGTTGCAACCTAGGTAAGAAAACATTTGATTAAAAATAAAGTTGTTAGAAATTGAAAACAGCAATAGCATAGGATTATTAGAAATTACAAAAATCTCAAAATTAAAAAACAACAACAACATAATATTAAATTAACTAACCTGTAAAATTTCTTCGCCATCATCCATCAATGGAGGTGGTGTCTCAGAAATAGGGGAAAGAGGAGGTTCACCAGCAGAATCGTATTGACATCGCACTGGCCTTCCTAAACCTGATCCCTGGGACATGTTACCACCACGTGTAAATTCTAATAAGTCTGTGAGAGGAATATTTGACGGAAGAGCACGCTGATTTCTAGATCCGGATAACACACTACTAGCACTATTCACATTGTTTACATAGTCAGGCTGTAACTGAGCAGCAATATGCTGCTGATTTATCCTAAGTTCGGCAAGTCTGTCTTCTAGCTGTGAACCATCCAAACTCACTGGAGTCCCAGACACCACTGATGTCATATGCTGCTGTCGCCTTTGCCTCTCCACTTGTTCGTAAGTGGGGGGAGGACCAGTCATGGCAGACGGAGCCAGTCCGGTGGTTGTCACAGTCTCGTATAAAGGTGACACTGGCGGCGACACAGAAGAGAGGGAAGAACGAGGGGAGAGAGATGGCTGCGACCGGCCAGGTGATGGGGTTGGCAGCTGGTGTGTTGCTGGTTCAGCAGTAGCTCCACCACCACTCCCCCCACGCAATAGCCTCTCCACTCGGCGATGGAGGTCCACCATATCAACAGGTCGCTCGGGTGGAGCTGGTGTTGTTGTTAGGCCAAGGCATTGAGGTCCACCATAAATGTCTGTAAAGCTTAGGCCAGAGCTCAAAGAACCCTTGCTGCTCGTGGTGGAAAGGGAGCCCAGGCTAGAACTGCTGCTAACAGACAGGGTGCTCTGAGAGAGGGTCTTCAACTGGGACTCTAGCTGCGTCATAGCACGCAGAGCCTCGCATAGCTGTTGCAACAAAAGCTGCTTCTCTTCGTGGAGACGCAGTCTGCATAGAAAACAAAAAAATCTCATCTTATTTCTGAGAAATTACTTGTAAAAATGTATTTATTTATTTATTAACGAGGTTGAGCAAGTGATTTCAAAGTTATTGTGCCAATCAGGAGCTTCAAAATAGAAATTGAAAATATATAACAAAGGAATTTAGATTGTCGTATATAGAATGCATACCTGTCAGCAATGGCACGATTAGACAATTCCAAAGCCTTATTGAGGTCCTGCTCCAGGCGCTGGATTTCTTGCTGGATGTCCTGCATTTCACGTTGGCTCCTGGTGCGAGGGGTGATACTTCTCAGCTCTCTCAGCAACTGTTCCTTCTCTTGGAACAGGAGAAGCCTGAGAGAAAAAACACACCAACATGAATGAACACTCCTTATTGCATTAACATCATCTTCTCATTTGAAAACTATGACAACTGCATCACTCACCTGTCTTTATCCGATTCTGCTTGGCCTGGTGTCACCTTCTCTTCCAAGTCTGCCAACTGTTGCTGAATTGTCTGTACCTTTTTCCTTGCTTCATCGTACTGTAACCTCATGCGGGCCATTTCGGCTAAACGTGTCCCAATTGGAACCAGCTAAAAATACCAAAAAGGAAAGAATTACAATAAGAAGTTGCAAAATTTCAAATTAGGAAAATATTATACTGAAAGGATATGAAATTTTCATCAATTTCAAATGTGAGAAATTCTTTGGAGATAGTGAAATTACATGGCAGGAGCAGAATGAACAAGGGATAAACATATTTAAGAAAAACGTCTCCAGACCCATCCCCCCTTCCACATCTTGTACATAATAAACTCCAAGAAGATCTCCAGTATCATTTAAACAAGAATCCCTGCTACCTTATATCAAAAAGCAATCGATATAGCACATCCTCTCCAAAGCAAGAACACCCACCTCCCCGGAGAGGTCCGTCTGCGACGCCGTGCTGAGCTTCTCCTGGGGCAAGCTGAGCGTGGAGACGTCGGGCGAGCTCTCGCTGAGCTGCAGGCGTGTGAGGTCGTCCTTGAGCTTGGCCAACGACTGCATGAGCTCGGCCTTCTCCTTCTCGCCCAGCGACAGCGACTTCTGGATGTTGCGCAGCTCGTTCATGATGGCCTGTGCCTCCGAGATGTTGTAGCAGCCGCCCTGGTGCGCGCTCAGCTTCTGCTCCACAGACGCCAGCGTGTCCACGCCGCGCTGCGTGCAGTGCATCTCCGCGCGGATCTGCTCGAGCTCGCACTTGAGCCGCGACACGCGGCTCCGCGCCAGCGCCACGTCCGACTTGAGCAGGTCCGGGTCGTACTTGGTGCTGACGCTGCTCGAGCTGGAGCACACTGCGGAGGAGGAAGAAGAAACGGGCGCGTCAGAAACGCGGGCATTTGCGATTCGCAATCGTCAGGCTCGAGTGTCAAACGTCCTCTTAAGCAACTCCTCTCTCAACAAACGCTATTGTCCACTATGAACAATATTTTTGTCTTTAATAATATTAGCCACATGACATTCAAGACAATATTGAAGGTAGAACAGTCACGAAGAATGGCAGACCTGCTTGCTTGCATGTCAAAGAACACTTACGGCTGGTGCGCGACGTGTTGAGGGTGGTGAGCGCATTGTTGAGGTGGTTGTACTCGTCCTGGGCGAGATGGAGCCTCTGCTGTTTCACGTCGTAGATCTCCTTCTTCGCCTGGAAGAAGAAAGCACCACATGTAACACCGTCCAAATAATCTGAGATATATGTACAATCAGCAAACAATGACTCATAGCCTCACTATTTCTAGACGGGCCTGCGGAAAACCCTCGTAGCAGTGGACGGGCGCAGAAACCCATTGTTGCGCGACAAAGACCGTGGCTCGCGCGACGGTCGGCGGAGGGGGCGGTGGCGGCAGGGGAAGCGGGAGAGCGCCCAGAGCAAAGCCCGGTAGCCGCTCGTAAATCGGGGCGCTCATTTGGAAGGAAGGTAAAGGCCGCCACTGCTGCTGCTGCTGGCGGTAGCAGCGAGGAGGCAGCGGCGGTGGCGGCTCCAGGAGCGGACCCATTGACGCCGGCTCGGGCTCGTGCCCGACACGACACTGGCGAGAAACGCTCACCCGGAGGGCAGCCGTGGGCCGACCCGGCGAGGGGCGGGGCGGGGCGAAACGGAGAGGAGCGGAGCGGAGCAGAGCGCGGCGGAGATCGGGGGTTGGCGGGCGACGGCCGAGACGGAGCACGCCGTGCGGCGGCTGCGGTGCTGCGCGCGACTGGGGGCAGGGGCCACAGCCGTGGTCGCTGAAGCCCGCCGCCGCCGCCGCCGCCGCGCCCCGGGGGCCCCGCGCTGCCGGATTCCTTCGCCGCCGCCTCCGTGCTTCGACGGCGGCCGGAGAGTATGGAAGCGGCAGGGAGTGGAAGGGGGAGGGGAGGCAGACCGTCGGATGCTCGCGGCGGGCGCCACGGAACAGTTTACGATGAGCGGCGAGCGGCGGAGGCAATGCGCCCGAGGGGCGGGGCGGTCCCTACCCCCGCTACCCGTTAAAAAAAGAGCGGGGCGGAAAGGTCCTAATTCCCGGGCGACTGTTTACGAGGAGCAGCGCGCGGCGCGGTCCCACATCAGCCGCATCCGGCGGCGCCACGTGGCCCCCTGGCACGCGGATCGACGGCGCCGGGCGGCGCGGCGGAAATTCCAGCGCGCGCCAAGCCCCCCCCCCCTCGTGCGCCCGACGCCCGCGTCGCGCAAGCACTCGCCGCCAGCGGAACTACTCTGTTCACAAAAGCCGCTCGCCGAAACGGTGCCCCGGCCCTAAACGCTCCAACGATGCCCGCGTTAAAAAAATGCGAAATTGGGAAGGCATTCCTCAAATTGCATACAAGTCGAGTGCTTTCCGCCACGTCATGGCACCTCTACCGGAGCATTTTCATCGAACCACTTTTAAGGCTTTTACAACGTCACGTACACTGCGCAACATTACAGACTGAATACCCCACACATTCATAAACCTTAAAATGACGGGGGCTTTACATGGACAATTTCAATTTCGATGTTTTTCCAGGTGGAAAGAGTGAAGACTGCGTCCCCAGCATAGAGGGGGGATTCTTTGACAGAAGCAAGGAGCAGCGCGCTGTCGTCCGTCGCGAGACCCGACCCGCGTGCGAATTCCGCAGGCGCCGCCGCCGCCTCCCGTTTCCGCGAGCGCTTGGCGCGAATTCCTCTGCCCGTCGCTGGCGCTCGCGCTGGGGCTGCGGGGCCACGGCCCGGCGCCCGTCGCTCTCCCCGCCGCCGGCAGGAAGCGCCACGACGGGCAGTGGGCCGCAGTGACATCGCCAGCGCACAGCTCAGCGGATTTTCTGACGTTTCTAACCAAGCATTTTCGCTCATAATATTTGTGTGCTGCGTAAAAATAAAGAAAACCAGTATGTCCCGTGTTGCATTTTTCAAGGTTTCTGTTTGTTTTTCCATAAGTATTTTTGTGATACATGTTAAAAAGTGATCTCTAATAGCACTGCGTAATGCCTGATCCTTTTTTTATGTAAACAGCAAAAATATACTTTTCTATTACAGATTTACTGGTGACTGTGATTATATACCTTTACGTAATGAGTAAACATGGCAAAAGCCTGTACATGAACTTTAGTATTAATAAATGTACACTACCATGCCGCACCCCCGATCTCACTCCCGCCAGAATATTATGAATTCTCAGGACCAGTAAAACCCATTATAATTGTTCAATTACAAATGCTTGGAAAGACGTTCGAGATGACCGAGTACCATCCAGTTTCAGGATAACATATTCCTATAAACGGTATCTACGCAGAAATTACTTGAGTTTTTAAAGAGATGTTTTGTGCATCTGACATAACACATCTGCTCCCAACGAAAAGACTTCGTAAACCAAGTGAGGCCAGAGATCAGCAATGTCGTGTCAAACTCGTAATGTATTTGGTTTTTGATTACGCGAGTCTTTTGGTCGATTGAGGACCAATCCACACCTCCACCGGCGACTGCCCGAACACGCGCGCGCGAGCTCCGAACGCCGGCGCTCTCTCCTGGCGGGCGGCAGCTGCTGCTGCTGCCACCTCCTACTCCTCCTCCTACTCCATCGCAGACATTCCGAAGGATGAGGAGGAGGAGATGGTGGAGGTGGAGGTGGAGCTTTCTCGAAGGCCCGGAACGCCGCTCGCAGCGCCGCCTGCCTCCCGCACTCCCAGCGCCGCCCCGCCCCGCCCGCCGTAAACAAACACGATGAGGTACGTTGCGCTCGAAACCGTGTGGATGATTCGCGCGCGCCTGGGTGAACGCTGCAGATCTGGGGGAAGCCGTTCGCCCTTGGGTGAAATATTTCGAGAGCTCGCGAGCGCGTAACCCGGCAAGCGGGCGGGGCGTCGACTGCCTTTCTAGCTTGAGATGTTGCTGCAAGTTTTATTTTTATTTTAATACTGGTAACGTGGGCGCCCCTTTCTTTTATGACACCAACACCACTTACTAGAAATACTTCGCATCGCACTTCGTGACCGCTGCCAATATCTAAAAAAATAAAAAAACAGCGGCAATAGAATAAATGTGGGGGCCCCTCACCTCCAACTACGCACAGAGTCAATTTCAATATGAGAAATAATTTCGGCAGATTTCAGTGTACCTTCCCCTCCCTCTTAGGCGACGGTTTTCCCCACGGAGTTGCACTAAAAGTGGCATCGGGTCGCGTGTCCAAAAGATCGGTGCAAAACGGTTGTAGTGCAATTGGTTTCTAGCGAGCGCCGCGTGGCCGGCCGAGCAAAGCGGGCTGCGTTGCGTCGTGCGGCGCGGCGCCGCTCTGCGCCCAGCGCCCGGGGCACGAGCGTGCCTGGGATGCGCGGCATTCCTGAGGCCGCTTTCCTTTGTAAGGGAGTATTCTGGGTGGAGGAGAACGAGGCAGCAGCGGCGGCGGCGGCTGCTGCTGCTGCAGCGGGTGGGGGCATTAAGGGGGAAGGGGAGGGGACCACGAGGCGCGCCCCCTGCTAGGGTTATGCCACACCGGGGCCGGGACTCCGAGTGGTTGGCCCTTGACCAGGAAGGGGCCCTCTTTCCCTCCAGCGGCGGCTTGACGACCCCCC